TATCCTCCATCGAAAAGAAACAAACTGGTCGCCGACGAAGACGAACTTACTTCGGCACCATCATCAAGCCCGCAAYTGAACTGGGTGTATCCTTAGTGTCATGCTCTCATAGTATATCATAGAGGTTTATCGGTCTCGTGGAATACGAGATACTATCGACTCATAATTCACTCGAACTTATTGTATAATGGTTATTAGTATTACCATACAAGTGGACTATTGCAAATCCTTCGTTCTGATTGGCTACGCTACTCGGGGTCTATTTTCAATAGTCCTCTACTAGTGAAAAGAGACAACTTTTTGCATAGTTTTAGCAATAAAAACATTCGATAACATAGTTATTTAAATATTTCTTTCATTTCTTGTCCAACTAGCATGGCAATACTAAAACAACTAGATCTCTCGGCCTCGTGGACTACGAGTTTACAGCCCATGAGGCCTTCTATCATCTCGTAGTCCACTCGCCCTCAAAATCCAATTGTTAAATAATACAGTCGATTTACATTCTATGTATGAAGTAAATTGAAATGTACAGGACCAGTGCACATTCATGGAGGCAAATGTATATGTCACGACGGCTATGGTATGTCCCGTTTCRATATCAGTAAAGGACATCACATTTGGCTTAAGTTTGTTAAACTGCCTCTATTTTTGTTCCTTTCTGTCTTCCAGTTTTTCTGTCATCAAAATAAAACTTATTCGAATATTGGATGGTTCGTGGCTGCTATATAAGCTTCTTGGATTTATTTATTTGCTTATTTCCATGTTATGGGAATTTTGCTGCGATCCTAAAAAAACTCTTTTTTGACCCTGCAAAATCCCGCTAAATCTGAATTTTATCATATGAGGAAGTAGCTGATCCCATCCCATTAAAGAGTGCTCAATAGATATAAAATGTAGAGCTAAATCTGAATTTACATCCTATTTTCTCAGTACGAAAATCTAAGTTTTGTCCCAGTATATATTTTTTAAATTAACGTAGTCAGCCACCTTAACACTTCCCGTAGCTATGGCTACCAAGGTAAAGACACGCACCATAACCTGCACGTGCTACCGTCAGGGGAAATCCTTTACATTGTATCGCGAATAGTCGTCATATACAACAGAAAAACAAACACACAAAGACATTATATCGGCCATGCAGACGATATTAAATGGTGAGTGCACCCTCCTTATCATAATTTCTAATATGTATATACAAGGGGAGGCAATGTAAAGGGACGCCATTTTTAGTGTAAAGTATGCTGGTGAGGGTATATTTTAGCGAACATGAAAGTGTGATCGATGACTACATGCCCAATCATATTTTGTGGTGAAAAATTGAAATGCTGCGTTTCTTGCTATGTGAACAAACGTTAGCGGAATGGATTTAGGAAACGCTAAATGCAAACGAACTGCGGCCATTTTAGCAAAAGGTCTATTGATGTGAATATTTATTGTTTAGTATGGCTGTCCATCCAAACCAATGGTACATCGCTACTGGACAAGTATCGGGGTTATCACTTGATCACAATGAATTGGTAAGCATACAATTTCTTAGAAAATAAGGTTGACAAAGACAACCCAACAAATGACTCAATTGTAGTACGTAAAGGACAAATTAAAGGGGCATGGTCCACTAGCATGCAATGCGGTCGTGTTTTAGATTTTTCACATATGGAAAATGAGGTGACTTCGAATATCCATTTGCAATCCGTTCCCATCCATCGGTTTAACGGTCGAATCTTAAAGCATCTCCATTCATATAGGATAAAGGAACAATAAAGAGTAAGTTATTACTTATATTACGATGTATTTCTATTAGTTTCAAACATAAACAAAAGCTCGAAAGGGATGCTGGTGGACCATGTCCCTTGAAGTAAAAGAACAGTTTTGAGGGCCATTCCTAAGTCCTTTAAGGTCGATAACGAATTTTAATTTCTTGTCAGAGTCATATTCGAATATGGGACAGCGAAACCCTTCTAACGCTCAATGTACTACAACTTGATGATTACAGTCTGAATATTATCTCCATGGCATTCTCGGTAGAGGTAATTATTGATCTGTATATGTAAATCTATTTGTAAAATTCGTTCAGGCCGAGAACCTGAATGATTAGTACTAACCGTCTTTTGTCTTCAGGATAATGGCGATATACTGGCAGGTATAGATAGTAGCGGAGACAACTTCAGGCTTAACATCTGGGAATGGAAGGACAGTAAATGCTTTTTACAAAGTAAAGTAAGTAAATCAATTAAACACTGGAGCATATAAATGTTCAGTAGAACACGTTTAGTGCTTAATGCTACAATACGAAGTAGTGAATTGCGATACSGAATTGCATTATTTTTCGTCACATCTCAGCGGTTGATGGAAAACATTGTAGTTAAGATCTCATTGCAATGCCGCTTGCGTGGAGTAGAATAACAAAAGATGCATTTTGGCATTAAAATACGCTATGCAACCAACAGTATATTCAGTACTAGTCTCCCTAACGGTTCYCTCCGCCATCTTGAAAGATAGCCGTGTCTTCATCAAATCGAGACGACCAACGAGCGTCAATGATACAAACGCAAAAAACAATTATTCAAAGGCGCAGGGAACCACATGAAGGAGACAATTAATGCTTTTTGAAATTCAGTAAAAACCCGCGTATAAGAACAAGTGGCTTAAGAACACCCACGCCTGATTTTAGGAAATAAAGCACCATTAATATAAGAACACATTCAGCCTGAAAAATAAAAGCTGTTCTTATAGGGAAAATATCAAAGTTCAACACTACTTTTCATTGCAAACATAAATTATAGTTCCACCCCAATTATGTGTAACAAAATATTAAACATGAAATAAAAAAAATATGTACTGTTACATTGATTTCATCTATTGATAGCCTAGTATGTTCATTATTATTTTAAGAAACATTTTTTAATAACACTTTAGAACACTTACAGGCTGATTTTGCAGATTATAACCCTTCATGTAAGAAACAAATCAACCTGAACCGCCAAAATAGGTGTTCTTATACGCGGGTTTTTACTGTAGTATGTATTATTATATTTCTTCTACATACCTTAAGCTAACAGCGTTTTGCAAATTAGGAATTCTCCAGTCCAGTGTCAGTAGTAATGTTTGATCCTGAAGATAACAAGACCATCATATCTTGTGGAAGAGAACACATCTACTTCTGGCGATGGCACAACGGTAAACTGGAACGAAAGAATGGCTTGTTTGAGGTAAGATATTTTAATCAGAATAGTCTTCTTCACGGTTCCCTGCGCCATCTTGAAAGGTAGCCGTGCCTTTACATCGAAGCGAGACAACCGTTGAGCCTGCAATGATAGATACCTGTGAATAATTGTCTGCAGATGTGAAAGAAGGTTTCTATCATTGCACGCTCAACGTTCGTCTCGCCTCGATGTAAAGGCACGGCTACCTTTCAAGATGGCGCAAACTAGCAAACTAGCGTTAAACTAGTATGAGCTGCGTTAGTGTTTCTAGAGAAACAATAGACCTCTGCAGCTTTTACGTCATGTACCGTATACGCAATGCATTGTAGGATATGTTTGGGACAGAACATGGCGGATTTCTTTTGTTTTCTCTTGAATTGATCCCACGATGCATTGAAAATCAAGTAGTGACGTAAAAGGCTCAGAAGTGTATTTGTGCCAAAAGATAATGTTAACACTGTAAAAAGAAGGTGAAACAACGAAAGGTTAACGTCAGTAAGTTGTTTCATCTACCTTTTTACGGTATAAAAATTTATCTTTTTGCACAATTGATATTGAGGTAAGCTCAGTTGGTACAGCACCAGAGTGTGTGGCGCGGTCAGGGTTCTGTCCCAGGCCAGATTATCACTTAGGGTCTGAGACTAATCGAGATAATGTTGCTGACTTTGCTTCTCCACATATAAATGATTAGATCACATCTTCTCGGATAAGGATGTTCACCCAGAATCCAACGTAGGGGGAAGGGGAGAGGGAGGAGGGTTCAAAAGAAGAGGAGGACGTAACAAACCCCGGCCGTGACCATCCTGAGTGGTAGACTTACTTAAGTCTCTCTGTCCTCGTGCTCTGCTATCCGTCATTGCGGGTGTCCGACCGAAAARRCAAAAATGAAGCTTAAAAAAAGAAAACAAAAGATTGTTGAGAATGATATGAAAAATACTTACCTTCAGCTTACCAGCCGCCTTGCTTTGCTGCAAAGACAGGGTCACCTTTTAAGAAGGCACAGAGAACCGTGAGGGAAATGTTATTCCAGTATCTTCTTTTATTTCAACTTTAATTCTGTTTTCTACGAGACTAATCATAAATTTCTATAGAACAACCCTTTTCCTCAGTATGTGACGTGCATGGATTTTGCGAACAATGGTGACCTTTTTACGGGAGACTCAAATGGAAGCATCACAGCTTGGAGTAAAGGTAAGTTAAGCGTTGTTTAAGAATGAGAGTGAAGCCTCTGGATTTTAATAAACTGTCTATCTATCTTTCTCTATCTATCTTTTAATTATATAGTCTCCAAGAAAGTCAAGTTTATGGTCAGGAACGCTCATGAGGTAAATTGGACTGACTTAGTATTTGCATGTTATATATAGCATATGAGAGTGCCACTACATCTGAGGTTGAGTTTAGTTCCCAGGAGAGCGACAGATTCTTGGCCGAAAGTAAGTCGCTTTGACAGGGTCTTCAGTTGCTATTTTTACGAGAAAAATATTGATTATGAAATAGCTCACTGGAAGTATCGCACTTTGTAGCATGATGCTTTAAGCAGCTTCTCCACAAAAGGCCAGTTTACACTTGCGATTTTTTGCCTGAATTTCGAACATGCTCGAAATTTAGCTGCAACTTCGCGGCGATTGGCTGTTTACACGTACGATTTGAATTGAGCGATAGCAAAGTGGAGATTATCGCGTGACAATCGCTCTGCAAACATCGCAATTGTAAACCGGCCTTAAAACTTCTTATAATATTTTGTTTAGAAGTCGATCCTGTGTCTAAGTATTTTGGAGAGCGGTCTTCTGCTGACAGCTGGTGGCGTAGATGGCAAAATTTGTGCTTGGGACTCCACGAAGTACTTCAGTGTGCCTCTACATGAAATACAGGTTAGTCTCAGGTCTAAATGCAAATCGTATCTTTGATTCCAATTAGTATAACAGTCGAACCTCTATTAAGCGGTCACCTTGTTAAAAGACCAGGTGATCGCTTATTAGAGGTTGACCGTCTAATAGAGGTCATATTTTACGGTAAATATTTGGGAAATTCATGAGTGACTGCTTAAATATATGGTGAGAGCTAAATAGAGAGTCGCTTACTTGAGGTTCCACTGTGCACAAAATTACAAGCAACGCTTATTTCTTTTGTAGCTTCCTGAATTAACCGGCATCAGTGCCCTCGAACCACTGAACAGCGGTGATGGCAATGACGTCACTCTAATACTCGGTACAACAACCAATAGTATTTTAGAAGGATCACTTACTGGGCCTACTACAACCATCGTCAAGGTAGGCTGCGCTCTCTACCGGCATGCCTTTCTTGTATTGTCTCAGGAAGCCTGAAAAAAGGGCAGGCTGCGAATGAAACGAAGGAGACTATATTGTATGCATTCTGATATCATCCTTAGGGTCACAAGTTTGATGTACCATCGTTTGCAGTACACCCTTCCAGGGATATCTTTGTCACTACCTCACTTGACAAAACAGCCACATTATGGTCAGCTGTGAACAAGGAAATTCTGTGGACCTCTGATGTCGAGGTAAAGAAAACTAAATCAGTCTCATAGAGCGAAAATACGACAATTGAAATTGCTAAAAACGTTGTCCGAGCAAAAATACGACTGAGATTTATAATCTGGTATTGACTATTGTTGGAAATATTTACTAATAAAGAGTATAAATAGAGTACAAACACTAAAACTGTGCAACATAATACCACTAAAAACTGCTAAATTATGCTAATTCTATTGTTTTCTATTGTTTAATTAACACTATTTTGTAGTAAATAGTGTAAAGTATTGCACACATTTAATGTTTGTACTCTACTCTTGTTTCCTTAAAATGAATAAAGACTTCGATAGTAGCTTAACTTAGGTTTTCTTCTTGATAAATAACATGATCAGTAAATGGGTGAAATGTTTTGAAAACTATAGGTTGTGCATTTTCGCAACTGGCCGTCAATAAGATGGTTTATTGCTTGACCAATGAATCAGTTTACATTACTACTTGTCATTTCCACAGTTTGCCATCAGAGTCGCTGCATTTTACACGACTGGAAGTGTCATTGCTTTTGGAACAACTCAAGGAAGGTGTGGTGAAAATCCTTATATAATGTAGTAACTTTAAGAACTAGTGCACTAAAAATTACATTCAGGCTTACTTACTGGATCAATGAATTTTGCGTCTTGTCACTGGGTACAGTCTTAAGAATTACTGATGTCTTGATATGCCACAGGTGGATTGTACTGAATGCAGAATCGGGAGCACATCAAGCTTCCTTCCAAGATGGTTCCGAACCGATAGCCGACTTAGAATATTCTCCAGGTAGATACTTTAATTATTATAATTCAAGAAATGTAATGGGGGTTTCTTTGTTCTCTGATACAGACACTGCTGGCGATGGTGGGCAAAAGAGAAACAAGCTTTCTCTTGCTTCTCTAGTGTTCTCCACCTTGTAATATATATGACAAAAGAGACTGTTTTTTCTTTTACAAAATGTCATGAAAAAAAGCGGCAACACTAGAGAAGCATGACACTTTTCTCTTCTTGTGTCCTTCACTTCACATAGTGTTTTGTACAGTTTATAAACGTTGTCCAATAGTCAAGACATTAACACTACAACAAAGGCATCTTCACATCTTCACATATCGTATTTTTAAAATTCCTTGCAAGAATATTCAMCATAAAGTTGCAAAGGAAAATCACAATGTTAATAACCTTTAATTTACTAATTTTAATCGCTGGAATTGTAAAGGTATTTCAATGAAAATGCATTTGTGATGTCTTTTTCTCTTGACAACTGAGCAACGTCAATGGGATTGGCGTTATCTCAGCACAGGGATAAGCGCTGCCGTTTTGAATTTCTTATATACAAACATAATCCATCACAAGGTACAATTATACAGCATTGATGGCTACGTCTTCTATGTCATCATATTCTCACAATAATCCTGTACCATCGAGTTTCCTTTGCACCCATGCATATCATATTCTACAACATGGCCAATAAAAACCGCTTCTAATTCATGTAAGTCTTATTTAGATGGAGAACACATAGCAGTGGGATCTAAAGATGGTAATATCTACATCCATGCTGTATACGACGATGGAATGACATACCGTAGAGTAGGATGCTGCTCGGTAAGTACAGTCAAACCTCTATAGAAGCCCTCAATTTAGCGGGCACTCATGAATTCTCACAAAGTCAAAACGGTCAACCTCTATTAAGCGGTCACCTCGTCATTCTCCAAGTTGATCAGCCAATAGACGTTCGACTGTATTCAAAATCCTTTTTTTTTGGCCATTGCATGGGGAATAGCACCAATGCGCACGAATAACAGAACCGAAAATTGTTGAGCGAGAAATGAGGAAGCGGACTTTAATAACTTTGATTTAATAACTGGTAGGGCCATACAAATCCAGTTATGTTCTTAGACTGGTCAGCGGACGGCTGCTTTGTACAAAGCATGTCCACAGAGTATGACATCATCACTTGTAAGTAGACAAAACCAGAGTTATGTAATGTGTTTGAAACTACAGGTACCAGAAAGCTCTGCGCAAAAGTCTCCTTCACGGTTCCCTGTGCCTACTTGAAAGGTAGCCGTGCCTTTGAATAATTATTTTCTTTTTAATTTCTATCATTGCACGCTCAACGGTTGTCTCGCTTCGATGTAAGGGCACGACTACCTTTCAAGATGGCACAGGTAACCGTGAAGAAGACTATTTCCATTTTACCCAAATGTGCGAAGGGCGATACTCAGATAGATGCATAATGAGAGATGCACGATGGGTGATGAAGCAAATCGCCGCACATCGACTTTGGCCATATACTAAATCTTTGGTTGTACCTTTCCAGGGGAGATTGGTGGTTTTGAGAGGGAAAACTCACAAAACGTCATCCGTGACACTGAATGGAATACACGCAACGTCGTTTTGGGTTATGACGTAGTAGGTTCGTACAGTAACATACAGTGACGTCATTATGCCAGAGGTTAATTCTGTTGGCACCATGTTTTTCAGATAGACAACCTTGAGCGGACTAAACTGTCATGAATTAATGTTTATAATGATCTCATTCTCACTTTGACCTGTAGGCGTCTGGAGGTCAACTCCAACTGAGGGGAATCTAGTAACAAGCTCTGATCTTGCTTGGTCCCACAACTTGATAGCTATAGGAGACGAACTGGGTTACATACGGGTATTCAACTATCCATGTTACTATGACGAGGTATGCATATTGTATACATACAATAGCTCAATTTCGATATTCCTGTTGAATGGTCATGAACAAAACAATTGGAGACGTGGCTTCGGAAAAAAAACCTCGATATATGCCTGTTGTCTCTTTTGAGCCTAGTATTAGTTTCTGTTCTACTTGAGAGTTAACCAAGATGTCGAAAGTGGGCTATTGCCCAATTCAATTTAGTATCAAAAGCTTTTGAACTCTAGTGCACTTTATTGAATACGGGCATTTTTTGCTATTCCAGAGTCAGTATCATCAAGTACGTGCACACAGCTCTACTGTTTTACGGGTGATGTTCTTATCATCAGATAAGTATCTATTGAGTACTGCTGGTCACGATTGTGCTTTACTGCAGTGGACCATGGAAGGCAAGATGAAACCACAAGCCAAATCAGCGCCTCAAATAAAAGAGGTAATAAAGACTACACGACAATAAACCATTAAAGGGACACTGTCAATGGCACGCATGCGCTAGTAAACTTGAAAACATTAGGCTAGTGTTTTCAAGTTTATGACTCCAAGTTGGCGCGACATAAATCAGCTTGTAAACGTAAACAGATCTAGAATATTCCAAAGTGTGCCAAAAGCACCACAAAATGATTTTCCTCGAAGGTAATACTTTCAAAGTCCGATAGAGGTGAGACTGTTACTGCGCATGTCATCCATTGACAGTGTCCCTTTAATGAAAAACAACTAATTTATAATACGTTGTGGGATGGAAATCTTGGGGAATGTTGAAGTACATTATTTAGTGAGGATAGAATGAACTGAATCATATGATTACACATAGTACTTGACTCACATTCGCACAATAAGCAATGTAACACGACGCCATCAATAGCAAATGAAGTCCTCGCAATTTTCTTGCCTTGCTAGAATAATCCTCAAAGTAATTTCTGCAAAAGAAAAGTTGTTTCCAGAAATTACCAAAATGGACTTTGAAGACTTTTTCAGGAGACAACAAAGCAACTGGACTTCGTTTCACATGAGTTATTGTAGAAAACGACGTCGCTACACATTGCCTATTCATTAATAATCCTGCTAACCCGGCCATCTTGAAGGGTAACCGTGCATTTGCATTAAGGTGAGACAACCGTTGAGCATGCAGTGATAGAAACCTTCCTTCACACCTAAAGACAATTACTCCCAAATGTCTATCATTGCACGTTCAACGATCGTCTTGCTTTGATGCAAACGCATGGCTTTCCTTCAAGATGTCTCGGGGAAACTTGAGCAAGACTATTGAATAATATTGTGAATATGATCACTACATTCGCCTTCCAATCCCATCATCTCAATTGTAGGTTCTTTCAAATTCTGACGAACATACTGACCAAGATGCACATGACAGCGAGCAAGTACAAAGCTTACCAGAAGACGAAAAACCTACGCGTCTCACAGTGAAAGCTCACAATCATGATAGAGTGGACTATTCTGACTCAGGTAAGGAATGACATTCTCAAGATGAAATCTCGGTTCAATGTTTATATCCAAAACCTAAATTGAGTTTGTTTCCTATGTCTGGCATTGCTGGTTTTCGGACAATCCATCCAGATTCAAAAGATAAATGACAAGTGGTAATGTTGGTGGTACAAATGTATGAACAGTGTAGATTCTAATAAGCAATCCTTTGGCAATGAACCGCCTTAAGTAGATACGGCTAAATTGGTGTCAATTCAGAACAAATGTTTAAGAAAAATATACAAGTCTCTTCCAAATTACAATTATAACTCACAACTACATCAAATTCTGGACAAGAAGATARCAAATTAAGGTGCGAAATTTCACACCTAAGGTGTTAAAATCCCAAAGGCAACCCAAGCCAATATATTGATTTTTATTCAATAAATCATTATGAGAAAACTTATTTCAAAAACAAATTTCAGATATACAAACCTTATCAAAAAAGCTTGATTTTCACCGCAGCCCTTCATAAAATTATGAATCCACAGTTTGCTCGACATCTACGRACTTGATCGTCTCTCAAAGCTCAACTATTACGTATTAGTCAAAGGGCTCCGGTGAAAATGCCCATTATGGCCTGTAAAATTACTGTGGAAAATTTCATCGAAATCGAAGAAGTATAAGATTGCTTACTGGTGAGATATTTATACTTGTTTGGCTCTTTTGATCGAAAACTGGTCTATAAAAGGGCTTCCGATGTTTTGATGGCAGCCATATTGCTCCATTGGATGTGTAGTCGATGCATGGTCGTGTTGCATATAAAAGAAATCGATAATCAAACGTAAAACGCGAAAGATTCCCGAAAAAAAGTACGGAAATCGAACCATTTACGATTACACGCCGTCTTGGTCAAAACAATAACGCATTCCATAGCAACGCTCTAGCAACGAAGAAGTGCTCATGCGCCATGACCTTTATGCAATMAAAACCCGCGTTCTCACAGCGGGAAATTGTCTCATGATTAGAGGGTATTTCACTAGATTTCTCTGCTATTTGAAGGAGTTTAATGGCAATRTTAATTCTGCTAGTCTTCACAATATCMAAGAGGTCATTGTRAATTCAAGATTAACGAAAATTCTCGTAAGCTTGGTCGAAACTCMGATTAACTCAATGACTGAAATTCGACCGTCTTGAAAGATGAACAACACGTCTTGTGTCACGTATTTTGTAATATACAGCCACACTTTTAACAAAACATWGCTGATTTTRTCATTGTTCCCGAAAGAAAATCTAAAGACAATGTATGGCGAACTTGTTTGAATATCAAATTTAAATCAAAATATGCAAAAAAATTATGGTGCATTTTAGCCGTATCTACCACGTTAACTCAAACAGAAAATAAGCAATTCTCCACCACAAATTGGAGTCAAGCTTTGATCGCAACGATGTTATATAATGATTAACTTGTGAAGGAGACCAAAACCACTGAATCCCAAGTTCAATTCACGTTCCCCCTTTATCATCAATGTTATCATCTTCATCGCTATTACCGTCACCATCTTCACGTTTATGAGGCAACCCTGTCATTATCTATCGAACCTAAATAGCCCACTTTTGATCTTTTAGTTAACTAAACATACACAAAAGAGCTAAAGGAGAGGATCAAACTAGCGGTAAACTAGTGTGAGCTGCGTCGGTGTTTCTAAAGAAACAGTTGTGTAAAAAGATACATTTAACACCGTAAAAAAGGAGGTGAAACAATTTACTGACATTTCGGACGATAATCCTTCGTCGAAGTAAAGAGAACCTCCTTCTAAGGATTAACGTCCGAAACATCAGCAAGTTGTTTCACCTATTTTTTACGGTGTTAAATTTATCTTTTTACATAGCTGAAAAAGATGATCAGGCGAAACAAAAGGATTATCTGCTGTAGGCCTGTTTCTAACTCATTTGTGCATGACCAATTAAACAGAATATAGAGAGTGGGCTATTATCAATTTTCCACACTTTATTGTTAACGGTAAATGGCTGAATTGAAAAAAGGAGCTTCCATTTCAAAATAATATTCATGAACAATATTTGATGAGCTCCTTGSGTTACTTTACAATGTGTCTTTTACTGCAAATGCCAGTCATTATAGTAATAGAAAAATGATACGGTCAGTTCATATTTTGCAATTTTCATTTCAATAGCCACTCATTACTCATTCTACTTCTTAGGTGAGTACATGGGAAGTGACGACTACTCAAATGAAGAAAACAACCTTTCAAAAGAACGACAAGGGCAGCAGAGACGACGAGGTCGCCATGACAAAACCAGACCTCGTCGTTCTTTTGAACAGGATATGTACCAAGAGCGTGACGAGACAAGCGACGAACGAAAAAAGAAAATACTTCGACATGGTAGAGCGACCAAACGATATGAACAAGATGATGACGATGACTCGACTGATGACTACACGTATGATGAAGATGACATGGCTGACATGCGACACCATCGAAAATCTAATTACAAACCACGAGGTCATATCAACGATGATGTCACTGAAAAACGCCAAATACGGACTTATGAACCACGTGGTGCAGGTTATGACGACAAAATGATTGACAAAGGACAAACAAGGAAAACTAATAATTCTTACAAAGCACGTGGGTATGCAAAGAGAAGAAGTCCAGACCATGAATCCRAGAAGGCTGACAGCAATTCTAAATTATATATACAAAATAGGGACGATCATAGATACTCTAAAAGAGCTCAATTACGCAAGCGTGGGTTCGAATCCCGCTTCTGACACCTAAAACTTGCAATACCCCTCTCCAGCTTTGGGAATGCTTGTTCAATTTCAAACATAAGAATACAATCATTTTTTTTTTTTTACAGTCAGCTATAACCGTGTATCGTCTCAAATGTTAATGCAAAAACACACGATCACATTCTTGAAGTATCAGAAATAGGAACAAACGCTTCCCAAGTCTAGGTCTGTACATTTAATCCTTTGCAGTGACACTCCGACGTCATCAAAAAAGCAAGTTTGAAAATATACATAGTTACTAGTCACTTTCCTGAAGTACGTCAGATAAGCGCGGCTCCAAATTGTGCAATTCCTACATACAGCCCATCTTGAAAAGGTTGTCTACCTAATAAGACATTTCCAATGTTTCATTGGCCATGTGGCTTATGAAAATATTCACTTTCCATTTGTGTAAATGGTCTAGAATGTCAGATGTGTTTTAACGGAATAATAATAAGGTGTGGACCTTAGCTAAATGTCCATATGCAATAGACCTAATTGACTAACGTGTTGCAATGTACATTACCACCAAATTCAAATCCAGTGGGCAAAAGAACTTTTGTAAAAGAATTCATCTGTGAAATGAAAATACAGYAAACAATGATACTTACTCATGGGYGGTTTGAATTGGGTGGATATGTTTGTAGCAACGCGTTAGGTATATATCAAGAGMCTTGAAAATAGGAACATTAGGAATGTTTTTTTTGGTGGACAACCTTTTCCAGATAGATCGGCTGTACAACGGTGAAGAACTCTTGGAATTATTTCCTGTTGAAATGTTAAGGACTTCTCGACGGAAACTRATGCTATATTGTGTTAAATAGTTTAAGAGGAGCATTTCCGGGCATTAAGCACTCAATCAAATGAGAGAGAAGGATGAAGAACCGACATTGTGCCAAATATAATAAGCCTTGCTGTTTGACGTCTTCAATATTTCAGCAAAAATCAAGGGTATGAGATATTTCCTTTTGTGTACATACAATGTCCGCTTACCATAATGAGCAATTGCAAATMGTACTGTTTCATTGCTTTTTTACAAGTTACTTCAAGGAACAATTTTATAACGAAGAGACATTTAAAAAAAAACAAAAAAATGGACATTTTTCTAGTGACAAATTCTTTGCACATTTGCCAGTGTGATGACCGGTGATAGCGAAGKATATAATACCCCTTCAGAATGGGAAATGCTCGACCCACTTTAGGCCCTGTTTACATGGAGATGGAGTCACCCTACTAGGAGAGTCAACAGTAGTAAAGGGGTCAGTAGTGTCACTTTTAAAATTTTATAGGGGGAGGGGTGGTATTGATGAAAATGAAGAAACGTGAAGAGGGAGGGGTAGGAAGCCACGGAGTGGAGCGGAGTGGCTTCCGAGAGAGTCGGAAAAATCGAAAGAGCGAGAAACAAGAACGTGTATTGGCAATATAAAATATACTGTTTCAAGAGCCCGACAAAAAACATCCGTTCGTGAGAAAGAGAAGAGCAGAATGGATCCAATCTCAAAGGTGCGGGTCTATCTATGAGTTGTGGATTTTTTAGAAATCTACCGGCGAGTAAATTTTGAAATGTACCTGCGGTAAGTTTTAAAAAAGAGAGTCGGACAAATCAAAAGAGCCAGATATAACAACAAAACCGTTTATTGGTAACAAAGTAGTAGCAAAATACAAACTGTTTCAAGAAAAAATCACGTGTCTTCTTGATTGGCTCCTGACAAACATATGACGCCAGCATGATAACAAACATGACAAGACATCATGCATTTGTACCTGCGAAGGGAATGAATCCTGTTTTCTGTTTTTTGGATTGCCTKGCAAAGAAAAGAATATAGCATTAGAAGGAATGATATTAAAGATAATAATGATAATACTAATGAATCCATTTCCTTACTTCTCTGGACCTGAAGTGAGCCAGGTAAAATGTTTTCTTCAATATTCATCATTGTGAGGGAAGATGTAACAATATGTCATGGATCGTTTGACCCACCAGTTGTCCCTGTAGAGTTCGGCGGGAGTGTGACTAAACGGATCTTTTGAGCAAACACCATAATCATTATTTTCGTCTGTTGACGATAGAAGAAGATAAGGATGCCACTTTTAGCAACGGGRCATTCGTTACGAGAGATAACAGAACATGTAGCAGGGAGACTGGTTATGGCAAGCGCAAAGTACGCCTATCATAGGCAGTGCACAAACAATACAATATTCGATGTAAATGCTTCAATGGACRTCATAGATACCCTGATAGAGCTAGTAAGCGGGACCTATCCCCTCGAATTCGTCATAGGAAACGTCCCAGACCTGGTGGCCCTCTTCGGACAGATGCACATGCATGAAGATTTCGTGTTCCAGCACATCGTGCAGGCGAGACAAATGCTGGGCGACAAGGACTTACCAGTCTTCCGGTTTGGGTACGCAAGAACGGTATGGAGACTGTACAAACTAAATTATCGGGCCTCGGCAAACATGCTATGCCATGGCCCCATTACGTACGAGGACTTAATGTCCTCCCCAAACATCGATGATTTTTTTGAAAAAATTGCCCAAAAGCTAAGGAACAGAGATTAATGAACTTTGTAACAAACTATATACACTATTTTTATATTTATATACYATTTTATATTTTTATACTACTTTTATACTTTTATACAATTTTATAATATTTTTATATTAAAAAAAACACGTGCACCAGGAGGTGCACGAAGCTAAGCGGGGGGGACTGTTACGAGGCGCTATGCTGAAATTTATGATGACCTTAAAATATAGGAAAATATTTAGCTTAACTTTAAACATTACAAGTGGATTGGGGAAGGCCAAGGCTAGGTATGGGTGGTCGCGCCTGGAACGAAGATCGGCCAGGATCGGGAGTCGCCGTAGTTCAYGCGTCCAACCATGCCCAGCCTGGCAAATAGCATGAATCACGAATAATGGTAAGATAGATGTGTTAGACTACGTCTCCCTGACATTTAGTTAATRCAATGTTAACAAGTTAATAGTAGATCTCAGTTTAAGTGATTCGTCAGCAGTTTTATAGTTTGGTCTATAAATTGAAATATGCCAAGTCATGTACCTGTAGTTTTAGATTACCAGGAAAAATAGTTTTGAATTACCAGTAGCTTTAATGTCCAGCAATTTTTATGTTGTAGGCTTAAGATCAATATTGAAATTACAGAATGATTGTGAAATGTTCAAATATCATTATTAGTCTATTTTTATAAGTAATTACTTTAGTTTAAGTTTATGACGCAGTTTAAAAATGTTCACGTGATCGATATTTGTAGAATAAGCCAAGGTCGTCCTAAATGGAGAATTCCCCACAGTATGGAGTTATGCCATAATTGGTTATTGTTTTAGTTAATAATAATAATAATAATAATCTAAGCTTATAAAGCGCTTATAAAACTTTTTCTAAGCGCAAATAAAAAGGTAAAAATTAAGATATTAAGAAAGTTAAAATAGAGTTACAGATCATAAGTTTGTTTAAAAAGGAAGGTTTTGAGAGCAGTTTTAAAATTGTCAAGTGAAGAAATGTCTCTGATTGAAGATGGCAGTGAATTCCATAGAAAAGGTCCAGCAACACTAAAAGAACGATAACTATAACTTTCAAGATTGTAAGACTTGGAAGACAGTAACAGTTGAGACGACGAACGAAGACAACGAGAAGGACGATAGTTTTTAAGCATATCTTGAACATAAACAAGAGCCAGGCCATGAAGAGCTTTAGTTAATATCAAATTATTATTTGGGTTCCGTCTAATTTTGTAAAACGTATATAAAGCAAAATAATGTAAGTTTGACGTCATTTGACGCATTACCAGATAGCGCTCCCCAGGGTCACCCTACTTGACTATCAAATAGAGTGACCCTTCCCTAGGGTGACCCTACCTGACATTTAAACGAAACCCGCGAAATCAATAGAGTAGGGTTACCCTACGGGTAAGGTGACCCTCCTAGTAGAGTGACCCTATCTCCATGCAAACAGGTCTTTAGAGTGCAAATGTAATTCTTTGTTTCTTCCTTACTTCCTTTTTCATCTTTCTTCAGTGTATGAAAAAAATGAATATGAGGAGGAAGGCAGAAAAAAAATTCTAAAAGGGGACCTGGTTCACTCGAAGGAAATGGGCTCAGCTAAGAGAAAGTAATTTACCTCGATGAGTTCAACCCACCCCAGAATACATTCCCAGCATTCTCATTGAGAAATATTCCCAGGTTTCATTTCTGTTGCTCTGTTACCATGCCAACAACAGCTAATCCAGCGTGTGAAGACGGTGTCAGCTTTTCAAAACTTTTATAATTGTGGCTTAACGTCTTAGTATATATTAGTATTATATTTATCATGGCCTCATTGAGGAAGTATAATCTAATAAGAGATGTCCAGAGACCTGTTTTGTCTCGATATTTTGATCAAGGCATGACTGGAAAGGTTCTAGCCAACAACACCCTCATTGAAAAAGCTAGTGAAGAAGCTAAAGTGTCTAAACAAACTGTCAAGGTAAGAATTGCACTTCTTTTGTAGATTTGTAAAGTGCTTTTGTAGATTTTCATATATTTGAGTTAGATAGTAGCTAAAATATGAAATTGTGCTCGGATCGTTTTCCATCTAGCTAGGTAAGCGTGCGCTTATCGTGTGCCCTTTACCTCTAGCCGCGAATGTCACGCAACAAGCTTACGTAAGTCAATAATATAAATGTGGCAGACGTAAGGCATGTCTTCAATGAGAACGCCGAGGCCAACGCCATCTATACCTTGGGGCGCACCCACGTGTGGAGGGACCATTGTTATGTGTGGAGAAGGTGAAGAACATGATGAAGTCACCCAAGTCCACCAGGCTGAAGTTGCGAGTGGCATCAATAAAAAAGACCCCAAAAATCATCATCTTTGTTTGTTTTGTATGGTGAGGTGGTGACAGTAACCGGTTGTGTCAGACTTCATTCGTCGTCTTGCCATTGTCTGTAAGTAAAACGTACTGTGTTCATACAACATGTGCTACATACACGCTGAAGTACGCTCTGCGAAAGTGGGCAGACGAGTCACCTGTTTGAAAGCATACAAGTCAATGCACACACCACATGTTTCAGTAGACTTTCTTTAATTATGTAAAATATCATACATTTAGTTTTCAAAGTGATTACTCGTAGCCGAATGCGTTCGGCCCTGGCCAGGCGCAGTAGTGAGCATCAGGAAAGCTCAGTCAGACATAGTCCATTCCAAAATTTTGGAAGGACGTTCTGGGGAAATGATAGATTGCGGTCTAGAAGGACACCAACTGTTGAAGAATTAGATGAACTCAACTCTTTATTAGATTAGTGAACAAACTTAACTTAACAAATTTAAGCAACTCCCAGATTCCAATTTGCCATCATCGAATAGCCTAAAACAGGAAAGAAAGAGCCAAAACAACATTTTTCCAATATACGAGTGTAATCATGTAAGTATTTATGTTTGTATTTACTACTGCATCATTAAACAGGGTGAACTATTCAGCAATTACAATGAATTAACTGTTAAATCACCTGTTAATACAAATAAGAATCATTATTATTTTTGATTAACTGAATTTAATGTACATGGAATTGTTAAAGGCTGGCGCCACTCAATACATGACATCGTAAAGTACATGATGAAAAATAACAATTTCAGAAATGCGATCCAGAAATGCCACTAAAGGCCAACAAGTTGTAGATTTGAGATTTTCATGAGAAAGCAGAACGACCACCAAAAAGATGGGTAGTGTAATGACAACATTCTCCCTGCCTAGGGAAAGAAATAGGAGCCCAGATACTTAATGTTGCATCTCTTTTTATGATGGTAGGTTTTGTTAAGCCTTACATATGATACATATTGTACATGATACATATTGCACGCTCAATCATTCATTTGATGAAAGAGACATTAGAGTTTGGTAAGTATTAATAAAAAAACAGTGTTATCAACTAAACAGTCATGATGATGCAAAAAGGGCAAAGCAAATGGCATGATCTAGCACCTAATAGCATAGTAGTGAGCTAGATGTTGAAAAAATATGAAATATGGGACGTCAATCACGAAAAAGATCTTCGCTAGTCTTCAATGATATTACACTTCAATCGCCATTTTCTTCAACATGTCACTATCAAAACACGGACTCCAATCTTTCTCTACATTTAACACCACAGGTTACCCAATGCCACCAAGTTCTTGGCTGAATAACCTACTTTACACAATATCAGTCATCAACTAATCTACATCCTCATCACTAGCGTGACCACGGAGATGGCATGTTATTCCCTCCTCTTATCATTCATCACATCACACAGCCATCACGGCACACTCCCATACGCCCACTAAACGTCCTGACTGCCCTAAAAATACTAGAGCTATGTCTGGCTTCTGTCATCATTATCTCATACTGTCAAACGGTAATACAATTCGCCCGGACGTCGTAGTTACACAATCGATCACGATCTATCACTACATCACGACCTGTGGGTAACTGTCATTTGTATTATTCTTTATTACAATCCCTCATTTTTCTCTAGCTATCGCAATCTTATCTTATTTTTAACTGCATACCACACATTCCACCCCACTGCTCGCCCCTCTTTCCATCAAGCCTCCAAGCAAGATGGACGGAACACATAAACGCCCGGCGGTACGAATCGGAATAAGCCGTTTATTAAGGCACAACAGTAAGTCTTTACCTCCTACTTCTTGCATGACATACCTGTAATAGTCCTCCATCTATGCTCTAACCACATATTTCTCACAGATTCGCCCTCGGTATCAGAAATCCCGCACCTCGCACGTATCGCTCTCCCCGGCTTGTTGGAGCGTGTAGGACCGAGCATGAGACGTCTTTATGCACTGAAACACATTGATATTCATCACTACCAAGAGTCTCGGTTCCTGACGATTTACTCTTGGTAGTCCAATAAGCCTCCCTCGCTCCTTCCTTCTATTTTACCACGTCCTTCCCACCCGAGAGCGCTATGTGAGAATCCATAAGCTCATCCGCGCGCACTTGAATTTAGTCCTCCCCCCACCCAACAACACCAATTACACCAAGTCTCCTAGATATCTCTACTGGCTGCACCTGCTAAGATCCTAGGTATAATTCCTTTTCAAAAATTGTGGTTACCTACAATGGTCCACAAATATATTTTTCCTATTAAAAAGCATACTTCAAGCGTGTATCTTGATTGCAAGAAACTCAGGTCTGTTTATTATAGCTTCCCCTTAAATTTTATTCTGTAACGAGTCCACGTAATAAAGTATAATGGATGTTTGTACTTGCCTCTCGATATTCCTCGATATTCCCTTTATAATAAAATTTCAAATTTGTCCAAGCGTTGTTGTGAAGCTGCTGTGACCATTATGAACATGATCTATAGTGGTTCACTTCCACAACAACAATCACGAAAAAGATCTAGGAAGCAGTCTGCTCTTTTGACAGCGCAACCAAAAGTTGGTTTATTTATTTATTTATTTATTTTTTCCTAACGTTATTGAAAAGTAAAGTATTCAAATTGAGACTGAACTTCATCAAATGATTACAGGAAAACTCCAAAAGATGGCTTCAACAACTACCTAAAAGTATTGAAAGGACATCA